TGGGCTTGAACATCATGCAACAATGGAGTTGAGGACTGGGTGCATAGGCACTGTTACATGCTGTATTGTATACTCCATTGTTATGTATCCTGCACTTGATAGTGTATCACACAATTTATTAAAGTTTGCTTTGGCAGTCATACTTAGGGGTAACAGTCCGTGTTTATATAAAAGGAAGGTTGCCAACACCAGTGTATAGTGTGACAACAAAAACAAATAAACCTTGCCCATTCCTATAGTTAACTTGTCATCAAGCCCACTTGTTATCATCAAGCTCACTTATCATCAAGCTCTTCTTAATGCACCATTCCTTACTCATCCCAACACCTCTGAAGTCTTGACTGGATATTCAATAGTTGTGTCTCATGGTTAACTCTAATCCTTATTACATAAAAATATGGTTGCGAATACTGCACAGTGACAACACACATAAATAGTAAGGCAGCAACAAGGCCGTCTTTCCAGAGGGTCAATATTCTAATGCTTACTTCTGTTTCTGTGAGTTTATTCATAGTATCTTCATGTCTAACCCTCATATTTCCATCCAATGCAGCTATTCCCTTACATGCAGCATGTACTATGTAACCTATGGCTCCACAGCCACCCTTGTCCAGTTACAGCCATCATAATCATTCTTTGGTAACCATAACCCTGTAACACGATGTAAAGAGTTGATTCTGTGTAGGCACTACAATAGTGTTTACCTTAGAACTTAATGTGTGAGTGTAATGCTCGTCCCAAAGAGACTGCCTATAGAACTATCTCTTGATATAAAATGCAAGGGATTGTCTTGTTAAGATTGAAGAGGAGAAAAGGAAAGATACCTAGAGTGCATTCTGAGTTCTGAAGATGTGTCCGGAGTACCGAAGTACTTGTCCGATGTGAGTGAAGGTGGTCCAAAGTCAAGAAACAAAGGTCCAGAGATGCACAAAGTGTCCAAAGAGCTTCCGATAATCAGTGAAGGTTACGAGAGAGAAATACAGTGGGTATGTTAATGTATGTTGAAGTATAAGACTTGCAGAAGTACCGAGGTATAACTAAACAAAGCCTATTGGAAGAAGTAAGAGACAGTGAGATGCGAAATGGCAGTGGTCAGGCCAAACAATCGTTCTGAATGAACAAAGGATCAATTGCGCGAAGTACGACTATCCGAAGTGACTCTACAAACTATGACTTGTAGCAAGGAAAGTGAAGTGAAGTGTGAGTAGTTAGTGAGCCCAGATTATATCCTACAGTGTGAAAGTCCGGAATTGCATGAGTGAGAACAGTAGAGAGATAAGCTATTCAAAATGTAATAAGACTCAAGGCGAGCCGCTACAGAGATATACATGTAATAGCACACGAGGCATGACTCGGATGAATGCACAGAGCCTTCGGAAGATCAAGGGAGTGTCAGAGAATACAGTATGAGTTATCTGTGGAATTGGCAAGATAGATGCCCAATGCCAACCCAAGTGCTACAATGAACTTAGACCACTCTGAATTGCTTCTTGTGGGTGCTGCCATGGGGGCATCTTAGTGACCATGGCTTTGGTGCAATAACCAACACATTAATATTATTTTCTTCCATCATTCAGTAATGCTAGCCGAGCAAGCCTGCGTCTTGTTTTCTTCTCCTAACATTAAACTTCTGGTGTTAACTTGCATACATTCAATTCATGTCTGAAGACTCTGAAGACTCATATCATACAGAGTAAGTGGGAGTTGGCCTTTCCCTGCAAACTGATACTCATTAACCCTAAGCTCTAGCGGTGAGGAGGAAGATGATAACCTGTCTTCATCTGCTCCCAAGTAGGACCTGATGCATCAACACCCTCCTGGCACAAAAATACCCCTCGTAAATATCACTCTGGGGCAAAGAGTCGTCTGCCTCTACAACTGAGGGCACATCTCTAAGATCAAAGGCAACAGCAAAGCACCGTTAAACTATCTGTGTATGCTCATATGTTTGAGAATAATCAAGCTCAGAAGGCCATCATGCTTCTGCACTGTAGAGTCAACCTGACCATTGATTCTAACCTCAGCCCTCATTCGGACAACAATATGTTAATGTGGGATGAGTCAAAGCACTTCCTTGATTTCACCCTAGTTGTAGCTGGATCAATGAGTTGTCACGCCTTCCTACCGAACACTGCTGTGGATCACACATTCACCATCACCCTGGATCTCCATCAATCCTACTGTCAATTCAGACCAAAATATGGCAAGCTGGGTTTTGATCTGACCGGCTCGATGATGGTGATAGGGATGGAGGCTTCTTCAAAGCTATGGTTTGGCTTTTGTCTGATTGCTAACATAGAGGACCTGACTGTAACTAACGAGGCTCCTTTTCTGAGTGGAAAACACAGAGACACTAGACTATGAGTGATGTTAGACGACACTGTCTATGGTACAGGAGACTTAGATATAATGGCAGCTCACAGAGAAGTTGGCAACATAAAGGAGCTTAATGACTGCATAATCGCGATGTGGGACAACTGGGTAAAAGGATCCCCTGAGTCATGGAAACAGGATGGTTGGCTTGTGCAGCATCGACCTATCTCTGTATCATGTCATTTTGGACAAAACCAACCTATTGCTAGCACGAACCTGCAAACTAGACGGGTGGAAGGGGCCAATTGACAGACTGAGAGGGCATATGCCAACATTCACTACATGTCACTGGCTATTGCAACTAATGTAATGTGCATCTGGTAGCCTGATGCAACATAACTCACTAACACTTGACATGACTGACAGGGCCACCAAGGTTAACTGGTGGCAGGACATTCCAAACAAGAAGATTCTTCTCAACCACAATATGGTATATGATTCCCTGGATCCACTTGTTCGGCAAGAAGTTGATCTTGGTGAACTTCCCCATGAGGATCCAGAGACAAATGATGAAAACAACATGTATAACAAGCAAGGTCGTTGAATACCTCGTCGTTTGGGAATAGTAGCAGCTGAGACAAAGTCTTGTGGAATTCTGGTCAATCTGGAAACTGTTCCAGAGCTGTTTTCTTCTTTCATTCCTGATCATGACAACACGGTGATGGACATGGATGTCTATGAAGATGAGGACTTTCGGACACCACTGTAGGAATACAACACAGAGTGGGGCTATACAAAGATGGCTCCAAACTGATATCTTTATGTTGTGGTCTTGCACTGCCTAGTCTGCTATACTTGGTGAGACAAGTGCATTCAACCCAGGGGTCTGTGGTCTGGGAATAGTTTTGGGGGTCAGTGAGTGATGTGGGGTCAATAGTCCGAGCGCGGGAAACAATGTCCGAAGGTATAATTACGATGTCCGATGCAAAAGTGTCGGGTCCTATGTTTTCAGGGTTTCAGGTTATCAGGTTCGGTGTGACACTCAGAACCTCCCTGGGCTGCAAAGAGTGTCTTGTCATATAGGTGTCAAGGGTTATCAAAGGATATCAGTTCCGTCTATCCTTCTGCATTTAGATGGCAAGTATGCCTAGGCAAATGTCACCCGGCGCATACCTGCACTTGTATCCGCTGAAGGTTCAACAATACTGAGAGGAACAAATGATGCTCCTAACTGTATCTATAAATGTTGTGAGGTCGCGCGTTGCCTAGTCTGCTATACTTGAGATGACAAGTGCATTCGACCCTAAAGGGGAAGCGAGTGCAGCAAGGATCTAGAAGTAGGCGCTGAAGGTGCTACTGGTTGGCTGATGCAAGGCGCGGGAAAGCGCAGGCGCGCGTGAGGCGCGAAGGCGCAGGAACGTGCACGCGTGTATATAGAGATATGCGATGTAAGTGCTACTTTCTAGGGAGTGATTCCAACTAAGCTCAGTTGTGTAGTGTGAACATGGGGGTTGCTAAACTTCTCTCCGGTATGTACTACTGGCTGTAAGTAAGGGTCCATGATAAAAATAAAGGTGGAACGATATGCAAATAAGAGAAATGGAAATATACGCACTAGAGAGCTTGGTGGACAGTGGATGGATGCTTCCGGATGGCTGGCACTATAGGGCGCTCAAGCGCGGGAAAGCATGCGCGCATATAGGAATAGCTGCGGATAGCATGCAGAGTGATGCTACAAGTTCGTGCCATGTACTCCCTAGTGAAAACTGCCATATCACACAATGTGATGTTGAGATTGGCGCCGAGACGCAAGGTACGAACGCAGTCTCGGTTCGGAAGTTCCCGCGCTGGGCGCAGCGCTAGAAGATTAATCGTATGATATTCATTTGCGGACAGAAAATTTACTTACAAAACGAGTCGTTGAGATAGAAACATCTCAGTCCTGTCCTACTGACTAGAGACTGAGATGTGAGTACAGATACCCACTTAGACTGCCTGTATATTGATGAACCTACTATTAGATATTCGTTTAGGTACATACCAAGAGTCCTGTCCTACTGACTAGAGACTGAGATATATTCGTTTAGCCTTGTCCTCGCGTTATCAACCTCAACATGTGAGGCACGAGTCTCTACACCACTCTGCACGCTTTGGATTTCCACTCCGTCCATCCATGTCCTTTCCATGTCCACCTATCTCCATTGGTGCGTATTCATTTTCTCTTTGGTTTGACTAATGGGCTAGCAAGGATTATTACATGTAACCACATATTCCATCCCGCGTGTTCTACCATTACATATTACTTATCTGCCTCATTTTCCATTGCTACAGTTCTCGCCTACGGGTTCCGGATGGTCACGCAGTAGGATATAATCTCGTGCACTACATACAGTTAAACACTTCCCTTCCCTCGGACACTACCTTTGTTCTGCAGAGTCACTTAGACATTCCTAGTACTATTGATCAATTGACAAGCTTTGTTCACTTCTCACTTAGAACCCGTGTGTTCTTGACCACTCCGAGAATGCGCCTCTAAGTTTCCTTACCTAGGCTCTGCGCGGATCCGAACCGCTCTCGGTCTCCGGCTTAGCATTTTCATACCTAGTTATACCTTAGCCCCAAACCTCGTCTATACCTAGCCGCTACTCGTGGAACTGCGCCTTACTTAGAAACCCGCCGCTCTTTACCTAGAAACCTCTCGCTTTCATTTGTTTCGCATCGCGCTCTCGCCGGACCTGCGGCTTCGCCTTCGCTCTTGTCGGCAGACTCGCACTTTCCAGGATCACCTTAGTTCTTTCCGTTCCGCATTTTCTCCTTTCGCATTTTACTTGAAGGAAGTGCTTCATAGCAATCCTCTTGGGTCGATAGACATGAGGCGCTGCAGACATGTAATAATATGGTCTACAATGTTAGCAATGTGAAAACAAGTAACTATGCACCTAGTGGGGCTAGCGCAATGAGACAGGACATAGGTAGGACAAGTGCATTCAATATCCGATAGGCTGATGTGAAGTCCGATAGTCTGATGTCCGATGTCCGATGTGTGAAGTCCAATGTCTGATGTCTGATGTTTTTGGTGTAGCACTCAGCCTCGCGCTGAGCATGTATTCAGCTAATTCCCAATGCATGTCAAACACATGAATCACTTCCCAATGTTATCTGACACTTACCCACTCAATCTGATGTTTATCCGCTAACCCAATGTTTCCTGCGCATCGGACCCGATATTTTCCCGTGCACTTATCCTCCCTGTGTCCTGTCCTGTCGTATCTATCCCCACTAGGTGCGCAGTTATCTGTTTTCATGTCGCTAACACTGTAGACCGCATTATTACATGTCCGCAGTACCACATGTCTTATTACATAGGACATCAGACCTGAAAATTACTGCTACTACTTTCGCCTATAGCACTCCAAAATTCTACATAGACACTATATATTTCGCATACCTCCTACTTACTTATTTACCTTTCTACCTCCGAGTAGGAGGTCATTTGATATTTGTAGTTCTTTGTTGAATTCCGCAAATATCATCCTTTCCTTATCCAAAACACTCCAAAAACACTGACAGTAACCCACCATTCACTATCCCCGACATTCATTACATTCCCGACACTAATCTGATGTAACCCAATGAAACCCGCTAACCCGAAAGTCCGAAAACATCAGACCTGACATTTTTACCTTCGGACTTTGTTTCCCACGCTTCGGACTATCTTCCTTTTCATATAGCTAATCATTCTAATACCTTACAGAGAATCCCTCAGGTCGAACACACTTGTCTTGCAAGTATAGCAGACTAGGCTGTGCAGACCACAACATTCTTATATTGCTGGTTACTTACTTGGTGTAGTATCTAGCAACTGTTGTCTCATTACATCGGGTTTGGTGCATATTGAGTCGGATATGATAGGGAGTGATTCGGGTAATGATTAGCATTGATACATGCATTGGAAATTAAACCTCTATGAGGCCACAGAGATGTCAGTCTCTACACCACTGGTCAATGTTTATTCACAGGCTTTCTTGAGAAAGACAGGTCACATTCAGTGCAACACAGTTTTGCCTCAATTTGGCCTGTTCCTAACCCTAATCCGGAAGTCTATAACTCAACCGGTTCATGGGGTGGACAGCAACGACGAGATAGATGATGAAGATGAGGATCTGTTCAATCCTGATGAGGGACATGTTCCTCCTGCGGTGCTGTCCATTGCATGTCAGTTTTGCAATGAGCTGTCACATAGGACATGACCTTCTGCAGTGCTTCATGAAGTCCAGCAAGGTCGCATAACTTCTGCATTGTCTGGGGCATATGGAACTGGATGCCCTGCAGCTGTAAGACACTGGAACATCATTTGGGAGTGTGAAGCCAGCCTGCCTCACTAGTGTTTCAATGGAAAATAGAACATGAGGACATGCCTTGGGCCTTGAGGTTGGAAAATGTCTATATAATTCAAGTAGATTCTCTGTTGGCTCATCAAAGGACTGGGTTGTGAGTTTGATATGTCGTGGTTGTTGCTGAGCTCTGATGGTTTCTCAGTTGGATTTATCAGGACATCATCATCCCTCTAGCTCAAGCATGGTCGCACCCTAATATCTTTGATGTGTTGCAACCACATCCTGTAATATTCACACTAGAGGTAAGCAGCTCATTCATGACAAGTTTAAAATACTGAGGGGAACTTTTAGGCATTTCCGAGCCTATACCAATGGATGACCTTTGGGGGGACTTTGTTGCTGGAGTGTACATGGAAACACAAGCACCCACTGTTAAAAAGGGGTCTTAAACCGATGCCTGAAACCATAGAGTTGTGTTCTGTGCTGGAGAGAACGTTGGTGTATGCGCTGTAGGAATACAACACAGAGTGGGGCTATACAAAGATGGCTCCAAACTGATATCTTTATGTTGTGGTCTTGCACTGCCTAGTCTGCTATACTTGGTGAGACAAGTGCATTCAACCCAGGGGCCTGCAGTCTGGGAATAGTTTTGGAGGTCAGTGAGTGATGTGGGGTCAATAGTCCAAGCGCAGAAACAATGTCCGAAGGTATAATTAAGATGTCTGATGCAAAAGCGTCAGGTCCAATGTTTTCAGGGTTTCGGGTTTATCGGGTTTGGGTTCAGTGTATCGGAAACCAATAGTAACATGATAGTGAGCGTCAGGAAAGCGAGTGGTATGCGCAATAATAACAATGATGGATACGGGCGGTGAAGGAACGATGATATTCACAATGTCAACTAAGAACTACGAAATATTGGGTTTGACCCCTAAGCGTCGGAGAACGGCTCTCCTCTACTTGGATGATGAAGATGCTATGGGGAGTCCAATATTTATATAGATACGTAGAAATCCGGAACCCTATAGGCAAAAGAAAGTAGTAGCGCAATATTTTCGGGTCCGATGTCCTATGTAATAAGACATGAGGTGCTGTGGACATGTAATAATGTGGTCTACAATGTTAGTGATGTGAAAACAAGTATGTAACTATGCACCTAGTGGGGCTAGCGCAATGAGACAGGACATAGGTAGGACAAGTGCACGTGGAGTCCGATAGTCCGATGTCTGATGTCAGAAGTGCAAAGTGCAAAGTGCAAAGTCCGATGTCCGATGTCTGATGTCCGATGTCTGATGTCCGATGTCTGATGTCCGATGTCCGATGTCCGATGTTTTCAGGTTCAGTGCGTATTGAGTCGGATATGATAGGGGATAATTTGGGTAATGATTAGCATTGATATGTACATCAGAAATTAGACCTCTACAAGGCCACAGAGATGTCAGTCTCTACAGCACACATGGGAAACATGAAAGTTATAGTGACAAGTCTGATGGGATTGTTTTGGTTGGTTCAAAGCTTACTGCAACAAGGGATTCCTACATTGTCAACAAAGATCCAGATTTCTTCTTCTCCACTGATGACACTGATAACTGTCAGTCCAGCTGACTGGCCCACACTGACAGATATGAGAGTGCCTGCAATCTCTTCAAAACGGTCACAGATCCTAACATATAGTCAGGACCATTTCGAGGCGAGTCATTTCCTGGAAGGCTATTCTGAATGTAAACTGAATGGGGCGTGTTAAGGATACAAGGCTGAATTTCATATAATGCTGACGGTCAACCAGCTTTCCTCAAAACTGTTTCAAGCATGTACATCTGAACTGTGTCACATGAGTACCATCATGATGGTGGCTCTACAGGCTTACGTGGCTGATGTGAAGGCGCTTGTGACTACGGCAGTCAACAAAGAATATGCTGACGAGGACTTCAGTATAGCTAATCCCAGCAATTTCAAAAGCCATTCAACTAGTCTGCGCAAGTGACTGTCTTGCTCCCATCCCCTGAGCTACCAGGATAGGATGTCTGAGCATTTCCTACGCTGCATCATTGCAATCCTGAAGATCATTGTAATGGATTGCCCAAACTGTTGGAGGAGCAGTTAACAATCAGGGATTTCTCTCTTCATATCATCAGCATGACTCAGCCCAATAACACTTCAGTTGTGGAGGCTCCCCTCATCTCGTCAGCACTGTCTATCACTGTCTTTTGCATTGCTGCCATGTATATGCTGAAATATGCTCCCCAGCACTCTCCTGGAGCAGCGGACAGTTTTATGCAGGATGTGTTCTCTGGGGCAGCCAACCACCTTCACATCAACCATGTCCCTTGGCATGTGGCCAATGCTGGAGCTCACAGGCATTGCTCTTATAGGCCTGTGCATACTTCTTGGGTTAATTTGGGCAAAGCTTTGGAAAAGCAACCCATGGGTCAGAGGAATGCTGGGCCTACCAACAGCGCTGTGGAGGCATCCAATAAAGCTCAAGCATCTGCTCAGGCACCTTGGACTGTACAGTCTATAAAGCTCCAGTCTCTACCGCAGTTTATCTCCAGGGACAGCTTGCCGGATGAATTCTCCTTGAACTACATCGAGGTTGAGGCACAGGAGATGGAGCCCTTTATCTGTCAGATCTATGAATGGGTGTTCAGTAATTTCAATGCTCAGAAGTCCATGCATAAAATTGCTTTGCTTGCTGGAATCTACATCAGTAAGATTCTGCCGGACATCTTCACTGATGAAGCTTATAATGCAAAACCTAGGGATGGAGAGCATATGATAACCCAGGCGCTCAGGGTGCTTCCATGGAATCCTAACAGAAGCACTCAAAAAGGATGCAGATTGGAGAAGCAGTTCATTGCGATGGTTCCAGCATACATCATTGCTGTCTATGAGATGGACAGCCCTTTGCGCAAGTGCTTTGCTGACCACCAAGGCAAAAGCTTCCCTCTGCGCTGGAACTCCAAGAACAGTAACAAGGGTATTGGGTCGCTCCTGATGATGCGTCTAGGTCTTGCTAAAGCCAAAGGTCAAAGGTTTTGGAAGGGGGGTGTCTTCAACTGAGACTGGGTACTACTCACGGTTGAGGAATTGAATGCAAAGTATCATGAGATGGACACGCACATCTCTGACCTTCAATATGGTCCTTTCAAGATTGCTGTGGCATTCTTTGGATTGAATAAGACCATTGAACTAGGAAGAAATTTGCAGATGTACACCATCAACCCAGCTATGTGGTCCATTGCAACTCAGAAGTGAGCTAAAGATGATGAAGATGAAGAGGTCGAGATTATTGAGCATGTAAAGAACAAGTGAGTAAGGCTATAGGGGATGTTTCAGGATAATGATAGCTTTCAAACTCTTGCATACTAACACTTGTATTTGTAACTAACCCTAACCAATGGCAAGAAAGTGTATATTGTATGTACATCATATATACATCTGTGGGTATGGGTGAAAAACAAGAAAAATTGCCCAAGTCCAGAATTGAACTGAGAGCCACTGCAGATTTTAACCCAATATCATCATGATTGTACTGTAAACCCATAGGGCCTTTGATTTGACCTTTTGTAAATAATATAAGAGCCTATGGCAATTATATATGTATTGATGTGTATATAATTTATATGTTGGCCCAATGTTCATATTGACATAGTATATATGGTTTTTGTGTTACATCAGGATTACAAAATGTGTGTATGTTAGTTATGTACAATATTATTGTGCCAGTGGCTGGCATCAAATGTTCCACCACCAAAACAGTTCCCTAGGCGGACACAAAAGGTTAACTACCTAAATACAAAATAAAATATATTTTCAAGTCCACCACTAGAACAGTTTTCTGGGTGGACACAAAAATAGCAAAATGTCAACTAACTAAATACAATATATGTTCCACCACTATAAATAGGGCTGGTGCAACTTGACATCTATAATATACACCCTGGGTACTGTTCTGGTGGTGGAACATATATTGTATTTAGTCAGTTGCCATTTTGCCATTTTTGTGTCTGCCCAGGGAACTGTTCTGGTGGCAGACTTGAAGATATATTTTATTTAGCATTTAGGTAGTTAACCTTGTGTGTCCACCTAGGGAACTGTTCTGGTGGTGGAAAGTTTATTATATTTAGGTTGAATTTCTCATTTTGCACCTTCAGAACAGTTTCCTGGGCAGAAACAAAAGTATAAAAGATCAACCTAACCACTAAATGACCCTCACCTATTTACAAAAATGTCCTTTAATGCTATCAATGATCTTGCCCTCATGCAAAGTGGCCCAGAGTTGCTTGATCGAACAATACTCACACAGGTTTCTAGGATACCAGCACACCCAAAGAAAGCATGGCTGCTTCACCATCTCAAAGATGGCGGTCCAGCTGCAGTTGCGAGGTGTGAACTAAGGGTACTGAGGCATAGTAGAGGTACTAGTGATCAAGTCGTGAAATACATCAGCTGATGGAATGATGAGATCATACCCAGAATGGAAGTCGGGAGGAACTGTTGGCGAGAGCGGCAATATGTGGAAGGAGCGACTGAGGTGGAAGGCAGTTACTGGGTTCAAGTTGCCAGTGGGCTGCAGGTACTACGAGGGTGTGGCTTCACTGCACTCAGCCTGCAACTCTAAAGGCAGTGGAAGAGTTGGAGTCTGACCAGTACTGCATCCTGCTTTTTTTTCTGCTGGGTGAATGTCAGTGAGATCAAATTTGTTGGTGCTTGGCTCAGCTGGCTCTTGAGGCAGGGACTGGGAGGCCATTGAGGATGTCATGTTGAAGCACTTAGTTGGAGAGAGCAATTCTGTTCATCAAAGGAGTTGACTGCAGTGTGAGAGCACAGCATTTATTATGATGTCTGACTGGTGCTAACAGTTTGCGAGGGATACAAAGGCACTTTGAGTGGCAGCCTCTGAAAATGAACCACAGATCATAAGGTCTGACTGTGCTGTCACTTTGAGAGCTTCCCTGTCCTTTGGCCATTGCTGAAAAAGCCTTGGGTACTGCCAGACTGAAGAATATTCAGCCTGCCTTTATCTACCTTAGGCACATGCGCCTCAGGAGATGAAGCTCTCTTCTTGGCCGCTTGTGAGCTACCCTCTGACTTTGCCTGTCGCTTGTTGGATGCAGCCTTGTCCTCATAGTTGGTGTTGTCCTTAGCAGTGTCATCCTCTGAACCAGATTGGGCATCGCTAGATATGAGGGAGATGACTTCCTTCACCTTTGCGATCTTCTTGACCTTTTTCTGTTGCTTCGGAAGCACCACAATTTTGAATTCATGAAAGGGGGGAGGCCCGATGGGTTTGATAGGGGGAGCAGGTGGAGCATCAGAGTCACAGTCATCAGAAAGGGAGATTGGGGAGGGACGGAAGGCTGGTGCCTTCTGAGGGATCTTCCTCTTCCTTTTGGTGAGAGCCTTGCTAGGCTTCTTACAAGCAAGTCCCTTATGATTAGAAGTTCCATTGGTGAAAAGATAATGTCCTGTTACATGGATAGAATCCACTGGGGGATGTGCGCCCTCTACTACTGGGCACTCAGAAGCAAGAATTTTACCTGTAGAAAAATGTGCCTAAATGTCAGAATGCATCAATAAAATAAGTTGAAGATGTACCTTGCAGGCTGTCCAAAACCTTTTTCAAGCGCATAGTGCCCACCTTCAATGCTGCAATGCCTCCTTCAGAGTGAGATTAGCAATGCCTTTGCTCTTTGAAGCATGATATTCCCCGGGGAGTATCACATCCTCAGGGTAGCTCTCTATTATCATCCTCTGACATGTGAGTTCCGCTGGCAGTGTGTTCCATGGGAACTTTTTTGACAATAGGAATTTCCCGCCCAGGCTCGCTATTGTTCCTCATTAATGCAAGTGAGAGAGCAATATACTCATACATACTGAGTTGGCAAGAGATCTCTGCCTTGATCCACCTGGTCCCATCCTTGGATATATTGATAGTGTCGGTCAGAGCAAATGAAGCCTCACACTCATTATTCACGTCTGGCTCGGTAACATCGTTATCTCCCAGGAAGGCTTCCTCAACAATGACAAGCGATGACAAATTACTAGATATGGTGAGCTCAGTCACTGACAAGTTCTCTCAAGGATATGGGCAACTTACTATACTTGCACCTTAAGATGCCCAATGATTGTATCCTCATCAGCCTTACAACGCGAGAGCCAGAATTGTGAGAGTGTAAGATGTTGAGGTCAGATGCAAACCTAAAAAATGAACTTATGCCAGCAGCTCCCGGAGTTGTACAAGCCAGGCTGAGACCACCATCTTGATTAATGACTTTGCCACATGCTACCAAAGCTACTTCAAATCCAAACTGCACAGCTCCTCCATCCATCTACATGTGTTCAGTGATATGGTACTACCAGATGGGATTCTACGTACCACTGTGATGATCTTCTTACAAAACTTTTGAAACTCCTGTGCACGCATGGCAACAGTCTGAGGGACACCACTGAGAATTATGGACTGGTCATGGCACTCTAGGATGGTCTACCAGGTATCTGGATATGCTGCTTTAAATTGCTCATGGGAGTTACAGCGTACAGTAACACCTGGACAGCAATTGTTAGAACAAACAATATAACAAGAGAGAGAAACACTCACTTGGTGTTCCTGGTATGTCAGGAGCCTTGTCACCGAGTCTGGCAAGCTCCTGCTTGAGATTGTCTTTGAAGTAGCCGCTATATGTATTCCAGTGGTTGACACTGTTGATGCCACAAGTGTGGTTCCTGTTCTATAATGAGACAACTTGATGAGTGGGGATAGAAGTTTGACGACTGAGCTCATGCATGAGGTGTTCCATATTTACAAAGCCTTCACGGAGGATGTCATTTGTCTCATTATGCCTCTGCCCTTTCACAGCAGGGAGGATATATTCACTGTCATCCATTGTAATGTCTTTGAGACCTCCCAACACTGGATCCACCTGAAAATTGGGGGTTGGAGGTATGACATGTGTCTCAGGGATGGAGGGTATCACAGAGGGACCAGTGGTGGTGAATAGTGTGGAAAGACTAGCAACAGCATTGCCGATGTGCCAGAATCATAGAACAGATCCTGAAGAGGTACAGCCTAATGTACTTGTGCAGGCTCGAGTGCCAGACTACTGTGGATGTTAGGAGGCATGGTACCAGCAACAGACACCAAAAGTTGCCAAGGGGGCACGACTTCTTGACTGATGGGCTCACTAACAAGGGAGTTGCCTGCTGGTCCAGAGTCGCCTCCAGTTGGCTGTTCATTAGCGGGCATGGCTTAACGACACATGGATGCCTCTTTGACAAGGCCCATGTCACAAGCTGTAGGTTTGATGTATGTGCAAAGACGGATTGTAGTTGGTTCCATGATGGGATCCACATAGTGTTTACCACCACCCACTTGTTCTTGCAGGTAGTCTCCTGTGCTGGGATTAATCATGATTGAGGGGAAAAGGGTCTCGGGAAAAGGGGAGGACCTTGTATATTCAGGCAGGGGAGAGTCGGATTGTTTCTGAGTCATAGCTAAGAGGATAAGTTAGCATAGTCCTACAACAAAGTTATTACTGTCCGACCTGCAAAATATCATGCAAACAAAAAGATATAGCAAGATAGCAAGATTGAGAGGTCGAGGAACTGTTTTTGATTTTGGAACAAGAAAGCAAGATTAAGAACTTGAGATGAGGTCTCTTGGAGTGCTGGTCAGGACTACGCATGCATGGTACCAACAAAAAAACTCATGGTAAAACAAACTGTTTTTGGTTTTGTGAGGTCGCACAAATATTTTTTTAGCTGACAGGAAAGATAAATGCAGGAGAGTTCTTCTAGAGTCCTGGTCAGGACTGGGAATAAACGGTGCCAATAAAAGAACTCACAGATGAATGTACAAGATGAATATACGATGTATGGAAAGGGACTATTTTTTGTAGGTGAGAGGTCGCACAAAGATTTTGGCTCGCAGGAGATATAAATGCAGGAGATGGAGGTTGCGCAAAGAGCAAATGACTCCACTGCTGTGTTGTTTAGCAGGAGTGAAATGAAGAGATCTACTGCTTCAAAACAGAAGTTAGGAAGGTGAGGGACCAGAAAATAATGGATCTGCTCACATATGACATCCGGAAGAATCGTGCATAGGCATAATGGCCGTTCAGAATTGCTAATTGAAAAACAGAAGTTAGCAAGCGATAAAAACAACAAGATTAAGGAGAAATCATGGAGGTTGGTGACAAAGCAAATAAAATACTCCCAGTCTATGCGCACCAAGCCAGCAGGCTACCTCGTGGACAATACTTGGTCTGTCCAGGTTGTTCAATCTACATACTGAAGTTCTGAATGACATTGGACTTGCTTGGAGATCTCATCTTGTATTGATATATGAGGATCAATGATCCTCCAGTGTAGTAATAGTTGAATGTTGAATATTAAATATCATCAATAATGATGCATGAGAATTTTGACTTCAACAGATCTGCTAAATCCTGTACAGTATTCCAGAGGCCGCACATTGAGCAGGAGCATCACAAGAGCCATGACATTCGAGATTGCAATATTGAATTCTGAGAGGTTCCAAGTTCAAATCATCAGTACATCAATGAAATTTTTGTGCTACAGTCTTGTAAGTGGCAACCAAATTCACTTTGTTACATATAATTTAATCGTGCTTGTGTATGAGGATCAATGATCAATGATCCTCCAGCATAGTAATAAGTGTTTGAAGTTGAACATTCTGAATGTTGAACATTGAGACTTAGCAAGATCGATGCCGGTGTGCGTGGGAATTTCGACTTGTCACTGATCTGCTAAATCCTGACTTGGCATGACATCAATGAAGTGTCATATCCCATATTCCATACCTACATCCAATGATGTTCCCACACCTCATCCAGACCTCTGGATCCCCTATCCATGTCTCCAGACCTTCAGTTCCTCTATCTGTCCAATTCCCGGATCCGATATCCAGACATCTGATCTGACATCCACATCTCTGGATCTGACCTATCTGTCATGTCCTAACTCAAACCTTAAATCAGTGCCCATCCCCTTATGGTAATCACCTGTTTCTGGTCATCCAGTTATACCTATAACCGACTGTACTCATTTTCCGGACCTTGTTCATTTCCATCTTCATTTTATTATGTTCCAACACACTAGTGTTAGGTGTTCCATATGCTCCATACATAGCCTCGCACTGCGCTGACTGATTCTCCATTATGTCCTTTGTAGTATATAAACCCTGTAAAGTCTCTGTACTATCACTTCTTGGACCGCTACCAAGTGGCACCCTGACTAGGACCCCAAAACAAAAAATTTCAACATCGCGCCCAACAGCGCCCAAAGGCGGCGGTAACGCCTCTCACCTTCTATTCTTCTCATCGATCATATCAATTAATAACTAACTATAGAAATATACTAAAAACAAACTACTAATATGTCTGCAGATCCCCCAGAAGGGTCCCAGAATGCGAAACCATCTAGACCCAAACGAAATGTTCCATCTTTTCGCCCAACCAATAGATCTATTCCTGACCTCATCAGCGATCCAGCCAACAAATCAGCAATAGTTGATGAGCAAACAGCAAGAGCGGAACTCGAAGGAAGACTGTTTATCACACCGGCAGCAGAAATCAACATAGACACACTTACGACTGCTCTTCTCGATTTTACAGTCCAAGCCCATTCCCTAACTCCCATGCACATTGACATCATCAGAGCCATAGCAATACTTCTCTTCAAAGCAGATCACGAAAAGAAAGTCAAACACATAGCTGAATTGGTAACATCATTCCTAGAAGGCTCTGTCAACCGACTGGAAGAAATCGCCAGAACCCAAACGAACAAAGAAGATAACAGAAAAAGTATAGATTCATTCACGGAAAAAGCAGAAGAAGCGATCAATGCTGTCAATAACAGTCTGAAGGACATCAAGAACAACATAGATCATATCTCTCCGACCATCAAGAAAATGCAAGACAACCTAACCAGCTCAGTGAACATCGAAAACTGCCTCGACAAGATCCATCAAGACGTATCCAATCTCAACACACAAATCAAACAGATCCCTCAGCAAGGTAACTATAAGGCAGCACTACTCACAGGATTAAGAAATAGCGACGACCCCATCTCTCAAGACGTCCAGAGAGCTGCACGAGTCGCAATCAAAGCACACCAAATACTAATCAATATTAACCCTGAAAGCCCTTTAGCCCCAGGAAAATCATCGCATAGCCAACTGGTTGAGAAAATCAAGAACGCTCTGAAGACTCTAGTCAAGATCGATACCCCGGATCTAGAACTACGCTCAGTAACGCAATACCGAAACGGAGGCACCATCATCGAAATGATCGCAGAAGAAGCAGCTGTATATATCAAACGACAGGAAATCAAAGATGAATTCATCAAGGCTCTCGATCCGACTGCAGTTATAAAAGACCGAGCCTATCCGGTAATTATCCAATTCGTTCCACTGACCTTCAACCCTAGCGACCAAACCCAAATTCAAGACATGGAGCAAGAGAACAAATGGGAACCGGGAACGATCACCTCAGCCAAATGGGTCAAACCACCATCGAAATGTTCTCCCACTCAACAAGTAGCCCACCTTCTCATCACACTTAAGGACCCCAACACCGCCAACATAGGTATCAGAGACGGCATCACGATCAATTAAAACAAGCTACAACTAAAGAAGAACAAACGTGAACCAATCCGTTGCGCAAAATGTCAGCGATACGGTCATATAGCTAGAGACTGTATTCAACATCACGACACATGTGCCAACTGCACAGAAGAACACAGGACCAGTGAATGCACCAACAAAGACCTCACTCGATGTGTCTCTTGCAAAACGGATAATCATGCTAGTTGGGCCAGAACATGCCCAGAACTCGAAAGACGTTGTACTGACCTTGATTCCAGAGACCAAGGCAACACCATGCCGTACTATCCTACAGACAAAGTTTGGACCCAAGTGCAAGCCCCACCCAAACCGAAACCATATATCAGAACCCAGCCATCCCACCCCCCGGCTCCGACCCAGCAATCTCAAAACACACTGGATCGCCACTTCGCCCCAAGAGGATCCAGAAACATGAGAGGATGCTACCTCCCCTCAAACGCAAGACTCACACCCTTCCACCAATCGAACTCGCCGCCTCCACCGTCACAATACAGACCCCCTCGCCACCGATCTCGATCTTGTTCCCGCTCATACTCTCAAACGCCAGCCACCGCCCAGCCCCCTTCTAACTATTTCTATGAATAATACACCCGATAACGAAACTGTAAGATTACGAATATGGCAAGAAAATCTAAACAAATCCGGCACCGCACAACACTGTATCCTTAGTGGGCCATTCACAGCCAAAGACTACGACATCGTCGTCATTCAAGAACCAGTCATCGACTTCCTAGGCAACACCAGAGCCACCCCAGATTGGAACGTAATCTACCCCACCCATAGATATTCACATCAAGAACGCTCACGAGCAGTAACCCTCATCAACAAATGTGTCAACACAAGCAATTGGAGGCAGCTACCATTTCCCTCCTCTGATGTCGTCGTTACGCAACTCAACGGTACATTCAGGAAAATAACTATCTTTAATATCTACGACGACAGCAAAAAATGGGAAGCCATTCCAGCTCTCACCAAATACCTAGAAAAAGAGATACACCTTATCCGACCAACGCCCAACGACCACATCGTGCTTATGGGGGACTTCAACGCTCACCACTACCTATGGGAAGAATCAAGAAACGCTCACCTATGCGCACCAGCAGAGGCACAAGAAACTGCGCAGCGCCTTATTGAACTCTTAGCAGACTACGATCTCAGACTGGCACTACCAAAGGACAGACCGACACTTCAATCGACGAGCAGTGGCAATTGGACCCAACCAGATAATGTATTTTGCACTGCACACACGCTCGATTCATTCACCTCTTGTAATACAGCACCAAGGCGAAGACCGCTGTGTACTGATCATGTACCCATACTAAGTAATATAGATCTCGAAGTCCCCCGAACATCCACCACAACCACCTTCAACTTCCGCGAAGTAGATTGGGATGAATTCAGAAGCTGCCTCAATCGACACCTCAGTAGCCTCCCAGGACCAAAACCGCTACTAACAGAAGACCAGTTTCAAGAAGCAGCCGCCAACCTCAACAATGCCATCAAACAAGCCATCGAAGAGAAGGTCCCAAAATTGAAACCAAGCCCCCATGCGAAATGTTGGTGGACACGAGAACTATCGCAAATGATAAAGAAAAAGAACGAGCTAAGTAAACTATCATATAAACTCAGAGCACTACCTGAACACCCCATCCATGAAGAACACTGCAAATTCCGCAACCGCCTCACAGAAGAAATCCGCAAGACTAAGCAAGAACACTGGATCGCATATCTAGAAGAGCTCGATCAGGAAAGTATCTACACGGCCAATCGATATGTTTCATCTCCCGAGACGGAGGAAGGACCAGCATCCCTGCCTTAAAGACAAAGCTAGCCGACAATACTCCCATTGAAGCAACCACCAACGATCAGAAATCCAAAGCCTTAGCGGAGACCTTCTTTCCACCACCGCCGCCTGCAAGCACCGTCCCCCAGAACATCACCTACCCGGAACCCGTCACTCCCTTCAAGCCCATAACAAAGGACCAGATAGAAAGAGCAATATCGAACACCAGTGCATACAAGGCACCAGGACCCGACGGCATCTGCAATATAATTTTCAAACGGGCCTCAGAGTCACTCACGCCATACCTCCTCCACTGATTCAACGCAGTATTCAAACTCAAGACGTACCACGACCCATGGAGAGAATTCATGACCGTAGTCCTAAGAAAGCCAGGGAAAGCCGATTACTCAGTGCCAAAAGTGTATCGTCCAATTGCGCTAATCAACACCACGAGCAAATTGCTAACTTCAATCATCGCTGAACAGGTCTCATTCATCTTGGAAAGCTACAACCTCCTACCCGCTCACCACTTCGGAGGACGCCCAGGACGCCCAGGACGCACCACCACAGATTCGCTCCATATACTCGAAACCACGGTCAAAAACGCATGGCGCACCAGCAAAGTTGCCTCTATCCTATTTCTAGATATTGAAGGTGCATTCCCGAACACGGTCACAGATAGGCTAGCCCACAACATGAGAAAACGTCGTCTCCCCCCGGAAATCATAGAGTTCACCACCCGAATGCTAACAGGCCGGAAAACTCAACTCAGATTCAACGACTTCACCTCAAGCTGGATCAATATTCACAACGGCATAGGTCAAGGAGACCCGCTCTCAATGATAGCTTATCTAATCTACAACGCCGATCTAATTGACATAGCGAACCCTAAGAACAATGAAACCACCCTAGCCTTTGTCGACGACACCGCTTACATCGCCATCGGACCCACCTTCGAACACACCCACGCCACCCTCAAGAGTATGATGGAGAGACCCAAGGGTGCCCTCCAATGGTCAAGAGAGCACAACTCCAAGTTCGAAGTCAATAAATTCGCACTGATTGATTTTACCCGCAGCAAAGCAAGAGAACGCCCCCCCCTCGTCATCCAGAACATGACCATCCTTCCCACAGAACACCATCGCTTTTTAGGACTCATTGTGGATCAAGAACTCAATTGGAAGCATCACGCTGCCCACATGATCGCCAAAGGAACGGAATATGTTCTTCAACTACGACGCCTATCTAGAATAGCTAATGGAGTATCGGCAAAACTAATGTGTCAGCTCTACATCACCGTAGCCATCCCCAAGTTCACGTACGGCGCTGACATATGGTTTCGTCCCATATACAAAGAAGGATCAAGTAATCTACAAAGAGGATCTATCGGGATAGCTGACCGTCTAGCCAAAGTCCAACGTATAGCCACGCTAAGTATCACGGGAGCCATGAGATCCACGGCCACCGACACCCTCAATGCCCATGCTAACCTTCTTCCAACAGGTCTACTACTCCAACGAGTATGTCATCGAGCAGCCCTTTGCCTAGCCACCTTGCCGGAACGCCACCCCCTCAGCAAGCACCTAAAACACATTGCCCGCCATTTCGATATACAACGCCACCGATCCTCGCTACACAACCTCATCACCACGTTCAAAACCTTCCCAAGCGAAATCAAAACATTAGACTTCCTACGTAGAACCAATGCACAGGAACCCATCGCCTATCACACCGACATCGCCACAAAAAAAGACCAAGCTATCAAAGACCAGCGCGAACTCAAAGAGATAATTCAAATCTTCACAGACGGATCATCGCACGACGGAGGAGTAGGAGCATCAGCCGTTCTCCTACGCGAAGGAAAGCCCCCACGCACACTTCAATACCACTTAGGCCCCAACAAGACACACACAGTATTTGAAGCGGAAGTAGTAGGACTGACACTAGCAGCGAAACTCCTCGCAACCGAACCAAATGTGATCTATCCAGCAAGCATATTCGTTGACAACAGAGCGGCGATCCAATCCGGTGAGAATCATAACACGAAGCCAGGCGGATACTTAGTGGAAAACTTTCGCAGGATGACCAAGTACCTAGCGAAAAAGAGAAGAGAGAGAAAACAGAACTTCAAGCTCACGTTACGATGGATCCCAGGACATGCGGGAGTGCTAGGAAATGAGTTAGCGGACAAAGCAGCGAAGGAAGCAGCGGTAGGAAGAGAGAAGTCGAGCGATAGAGAACGCCTACCACAATATCTGCAGAAAGGCCACCTCCCTCATAGTGTATCAGCCCTATGCCAATGGCATGAACATGCCCTCAGCAAGCAATGGTCCAAAGACTGGAGAAAGTCACCCCGATACGAGAAGATGAAACGCATCGACCCGTCAATGCCCTCAAATAAATACATCAAACTCATAACCGGACTCCCCAGACGACAGACCAGCCTATACACCCAACTACGCACAGGACACATCCCGCTCAACTATCACCTGCACCGTATAGGAAAGAGTGAAACACCTCATTGCCCATTCTGCCCCGACGCGAACGAAACTATCCACCATTTCCTCCTTGATTGCCCGCAATACACCCGTGAACGTCACTTCCTAAGCAATGCCCTACGTCGCAACGCCTCATCAATCTCCTTTTTGCTCACAGCGGAAGAAGCGACCCTACCACTTATGAGATTCATCAACAGCTCAGGAAGACTTAAACCGACATTCAGTGAGGTTTCGAAAACGTAACATATTGTAACACTCACGCACGCGCAACCTAAACACAGACCATATTGTACACCAACAAAACATACATGTAACATCAACACTTCGAATCCAGAGGGGAAAAGACTATTGCAGGACGATCGGTCAATGTAGGAAGGCGAGGCAAAGGACCCAATGCTACCCACCACATCTTACCCCCCTGTATGAACTCAGCGTCGGCGTTTGCCCGGCACAATGCTGACGAAGTACGTGAATACCTACCAAGCACACATCAGAACATACATACATACGATAGACAAGCGGGAGAAAACCCCCCGCGAAAAGGGTTATGTCCGTCATAGGGTCTTCGACCCTAAAAGGACAATAAATATGAATTAAAAAAAAAAAAAGTCTCTGTACTTCCTCAGTCTGAATATCATATTAGTCCTTGCACTAGCCTTCACACTAAGTCCTCATAACTAGTTCCTTCCTTGTTAAACATCCACCTTAGGCCTAGGGAGGAATTCCCTAGGCCGGAGCTCCACTCCTCCACTCCTCTGCTCATCCGATCATCCGATCCTCTGATCCTGAACTCCTCTGAGTTTCTGGAAGTTCCTCCAGAACTTTCCTGCAGTCCTCCGGACCTATTCTGCTTCAGACTTTGTCCTTGCAGCCTTTCCTCTGTTTTCTTCTACTCAGGACAAGTCCTGAGTAGCCATTACACATATCTCTGTCAGGATGAAACTCCATCGTAATTTCCGGAACTTTCCCGCACTCATCCAGAAGTTTCTTGCACTCATCCGGAAAGTCCTTGCAAAGTTTCCCATGCTCCTCCGGAAGTCCTTCGGACTTCACTGGACTTCTCCAGACTTCATTCTGAAGTTAAGGGCACATACTCAGGTAAGGGGCACAGCGCACAAGCTGAAGCCAAGCCCTTTGGAATCAGTCCTACCCTTTGTGCATGGTGTAAAGAGTTGATTCATTGTAGGCGCCACAAATAGTGTTACCTTTGAACTCAATGTGCAAGTGTAATTCTCGTCCCAAAGAGACTGCCTATAGAACTATCTCTTAATATAATATGCAAGGGATGTCTTGTTAAGATCGAAGATGAGAACAGGAAAGATACCTAAAGTATGTTCTGTGTTTCTGAAGGTGCGTCCAAAGTGTCCGAAGATGGTCTGATGTCAAGAAACGAAGGTCTGAGATTGCACGAAGTGTCCAAAGAGCTTCCAGCAAACAGCAAAGGTTCCGAGAGAGAAATACAGCGGGTTTGTCGAGGTGTGTCGAAGTGTAAGACTAGTAGAAGTACTGAAGTACAACTAAACAAAGCCTATCAGAAGAACTAAGAGACAGCGAGATGCAAAATGGCAGCGGTTAGGCCAAACAATCGTTCCGAATGAACAAAGGTTCGATTGCACGAAGTACGACATCCAAAGTGACTCTACAAACTATGACTTGTAGCAAGGAAAGTGAAGTGTAGTGCGAGTATCTAGCGAGCCAGATTATAATTATATCCTACAGCATGAAAGTCCGGAATTGCATAGGTGAAACTAGTAGCGAGATAAGCTATCCGAAATGTAATAAGACTCAAGGTGAGCCACTACAGAGATATGCATGTAATAGTGCACGAGGTGCGCAGCTATACATATTAATCAGGCTTTTTGATGTATGTGCCCCTAAGACATAATCAATAACAGATAATCAAAGTGAGAATGCGCCAGCGAAGTCAAACGGACACAGATAGGACATGGTACGGAGGATCAGAGGTGTATATAGGCTTTGGAAGGGGATGGACGACCTTCAGACGACCCGGATGAGTGCACGGAACTCTCAGAAGGTAAAAGGAGCGTTGAGGAGCATAATGTGAGACACTTATGAGTTTGGCAGGAGACCAACACCAGTCCAAGTGCTACAACGGTCTTAACATGAAGCCTGTAATGCTTCTCAGATCTCATTTATCGTGCTTCCGTGCTTCTTTCATCGATGTTGTTGTCCTCACACTGGTCCCTTCACTCGCCAAGATTGCTCACATGGATTTCGCCAGACTTTACTCTGTTCTCAATCATATTGCTTTGCAATGCAGAGTAACAGCAGAGACAGTGTTAGCAGAGTGGCTTGAGAGGCAGGAAGTGGCAGATCCTGAGCATTGGAAGCAGCTCAGTGGCATCCCTTGCATTACTGGTGGGTTGATAGCACTTCTTGGTAAGTTTTAATGGCAATTGATCTGTAAAATTTCTGACTATCTTACAGGCACACTCAATGGTCGAGGTGGGATGTTTCCATGGAAGAAGCTATCTGCCATTTTAACCTGCCACGGTTACACCCTCCACCACTACCCCAAGAATGTTCTCATGCCCAGCAAGAGACGCCCAACACTCACCAAGAGTAAGGGCATCCATGATCTCACACTCTGTGAGTAGGACCTACTCGCCAATGCCCTGAAAATAAATTTTATCACCATCCAGCAGGTCAGTAGTAATAAAGCCCGCTGTAAAATAATGACTTCCTGTGCACCAATCATCTTCGGAGAGGTGCCTCAATGGGATTTGCAGAACCTGCATGGCCGGCATGCATTCCTCAATGGTCGGACTAATAGGAAGGGACTTCCTCATGTCAAGATGGCTGAAACATCTCCAGAGCCATCCTCAGAGACATCTGTTGTGCTGTCTCTGCCTGTGCCCTCTCGTCAGCTTCGTCGGCGAATACTACAGGTATTATCACCTGAGGATTCTCCTGTGCCATCTCCCATACCCTCTCATCACCATTCTCCTGCGGTGTCTCCTGCACCTTTGCATCGTCCAAAGGTGCAAGTATTTGTTGAGTTACCCCACGCCCCTCCCTCCTGGAGGTTGAAAGCAACACAGCAGCACTCTTCACCTGTCAGTAGACCAGAAACCAACATGCTCATCCCACAGATAAACTACCTCTCTCAGCTTTCAGTGACTATGGATGGCATTTTCAATGAGGAGGAAGAAACTGACAAGGTGCTCACCTGGCTTACAGCGACTGTGGCTATGAACAATGAGGAAGAAGAAGTGATCGGGCTTGTTGGGTCTCTGAGTGAAGTAGCTGTATAATCAAGAAAGTCTCTTTTTCTGTCCCACTTTGTACTGTAGAAGTCGTCACAAAGCTAACCAGATTGTATCGTTCTATCTATTCCTTGCACGAATCAACAATTTGTACTCAAAGGGAAGCATTTGATAGTCTTTTTGGCTTGTAGAAGAGGAAGAGACCAGGTGCCTTGTTACCATAACTAAATTTGTTCACACTGATCTCCTGTTTAAGCTCACAGACGCACCTTCCTGAGAGGTATGATAACCAATCATGTTGCATATAAAACTCCTATGAAACTGAAAACATGTTTATGCAGCATGTGTTAAGACCGTGCACAAAGGGTAGGACTGATTCCAAGGGGCTTGGCTTCAGCTTGTGCGCTGCGCCCCTTACCCGAGTATGTGCCCTTAACTTCAAAATGAAGTCCAGAGAAAGTCCAGTGAAGTCCAAAGGACTTCCGGAAAAGCGTGGGAAACTTCGGAAGGACTTTCCGGATGAGTGCAAGAAACTTCTGGATGAGTGCGGGAAAGTTCCGGAGGAACTTCCGGAAATTACGATGGAGTTTCATCCTGACAGAGATATGTGTAATGGCTACTCAGGACGGGTCCTGAGTAGAAGAAAACAGAGGAAAGGCTGCAAGGACAAAGTCCGAAGCAGAATAGGTCCGGAGGACCGCGGGAAAGTTCCAGAGGAACTTCCGGAAACTCGGAGGAATGGAGGATCAGATGAGTGGATGAGCGGAGGATCGGAGGATCGGAGCTCCGGCCTAGGGAATTCCTCCCTAGGCCTGAGATGGATAATGACTAAGTCAGAGGACTAGAACTGTTACGAGGACTTAGGGTGAAGGCTAGTGCGAGGACTAATATGTGTGATATTCAGACTGAGGAAGTATAGAGACTTTACAGGGTTTATATACTACAAAGGACATAACGGAGAATCAGTCAGCGCAGTGCGAGGCTATGTGAGGCTATAGACGGAGCATGTAGAAATGTCTAACACTAGTCTATAGGAAAATAGTAAATGAAGACGGAAATGAGAACATAGTAAAATAAAGGCGGAAATGAAATGAGGTACGGAAAATGAGTATAGTCTAACTTGAGAAGGAACGTACAAAGGGAAAAGGCACGGAAGATAGACGCGGGTTGGATCCAGATGTTCGCAAGTCCGGAGAAAGGTGATTACCATAAGGGGATGGGCGCTGATTTAAGGTTTGAGTTCGGACATGACAGATAGGTCAGATCCAGAGATGTGGATGTCAAATCAGATGTCTGGACATCGGATCCGGGAATTGGGCAAATAGAGAAGCTGAAGGTCTGGAGACATGGATAGGGGATCCGGATGTCCAGATGAAGTGTGGGAACATCGTCAGATGTAGGTCCGGAATACGGGATATGACAGCATGATACAGAACAATATATTGCTATGAATGTGTTAAGACCATGCACAAAGGGTAGGACTGATTCCGAGGGGCTTGGCTTCAGCTCATGCGCTGCGCCCCTTACCCGAGTATGTGCCCTTAATTTCAGAATGATGTCCGAAGAAAGTCCAAGGACGTCCGAAGGATGTCCGATGCGCGGGAAAGTTCAGAAGGACTTTCTGGACGAGTGCAAGTAACTTCTGGATGAGTGCGGGAAAGTTCCGGAGGAACTTCCGGAAATTATGATGAGGTTTCGTCCTGATACGGATACGTGTAATGGCTACTTAGGACATGTCCTAAGTAGAAGCAAACAGAGGAAAGGCTGCAAGGACAAAGTCCGAAGCAGAATAGGTCCGGAGGACCGCGGGAAAGTTTCGGACGAACGTCCGGAAACTTCAGAGGATCGGATGAGCGGATAAGCGGAGCTCTGGCCTAGGGAATTTCTCCCTAGGCCCGAGATGGATTTTGACTAAGTCGATAGACTAGAACTGATGTGAGGACTTAGAGTGAGATCTAGTGCGAGAACTAATATGATATTCAGACTGAGGAACTACAGGACATATACAAGAGTTTATATACTAAGGAAATAATGGAAAGATCAGTAAGCAAGCGTCCGAGGCTATGTATGGAGCATAAGCAAAGTTATCAAGCGCGAGTCGGAAATGAAGCATAGGTTAACGGATCAGTAAGCGTACCGGTAGTAAGTATAACCAAGATACCGAGGACAAGGAATACCGAATAGAGGAATAGGCTGTGTCAACGTTATATGCACAGGAAATGAATTAGGAAGCTTATCGTATATCGGATCGGATCGGACTGGATCGGACCGGATGTCTGGACAAGAAGCATGGATATACGGGATATGATATTAGGGCAATAGGACAAAGGATGAATGATGCAGGCTAGCTGCGGAGGTATGGAGGTGTGATGTACGGAGGTAAAGGGATCTGGACATGGATGTGCGGATGTGGATGTGCAGAGGTGCAGAGATCCGGATGGGTAGAGGACTGGAGACATGGATAGGGCGTCCGAAGGTCCGGATGAGGCGTGGGAATATTGTCGGATGTAGGTCCGGAATACGGGATATGACAGAATGGGCCAGAACTGAAGCTCTCGCCAGCCCGGTTTGGATGAGATACATATCTTGAGTGTTTTATCGTTCAGAGCCGCCTTATTTTGTGTAACACTGGTATACGTTGGATTGCTTCATTGAGTTGTAAGTGTTTCTGAGCCGCCCATACATCAATTTGACCTGTTTGTGAGTTTTGACAGTTCTGACATTGGGCTATCCTTAACTACATGGTGGTAAGTAAACACACCACTATCAACTAGTTGGTCGGCTTGCTGTATGAATGGTTTCTCATCCTTAGGAACTGGTATATATCTACAGGATTGCCTGTCAAAGTCTTGAAGTTCTTATTGTATTAGCCATGCTGCGTTGAACGTTGAACCAGCTGCAATAATCAATCCTTATTGTGTGTTCTGCAGTACTCAAAGCAGTTCAGTGCATGCCTTTGGGAGGATTTATAGACAGGCATGTATTGCATATCAAGAAGTAAGTATTCTAACTACAAGTGTACATCTAAAGGCTGTCATATCCTCCTTGTACATCCTCAACTACACGATGGCAAGTCAACACATCACTATCAACCAGTAGGTCGGCTTGCTGTGTGAATGATTTCTTACCCTGAACATATCTGCGGGATTGCCTGTCAAAGTCAAGTCCTTATTGCATTAGCATGCTGCATTGAACCAGCTGCAATAGTCAATCCTTGTTGTGTGTTCCGCAATACTCAAAGCAGTTCAGTGCACGCCTTCGAGAGAGTTGTAGACAAATGTGTATTGCATATTGTGAAGTAGGTATTCTAACTACCAGTGTACATAGATAATGTCTAAAGGCTATCATATCCTCCTCGCACATGCCTGGTCTATGAGCTCCCCACAAGACAGCCGTAATTGCCCCTAAAACCCAGAGACCACAGTCATAACCATTCATTTGCAGAGGTTCGACTATTAGTGGGCGGTGTAAAGAGTAGATTCGTTGTAGGCGCTACAAAATGTTTTACCTTAGAACTCAATGTGTGAGTGTAATGCTCGTCCCAAAGAGACTGCCTATAGAATTATCTCTTGATATAAATGCAAGGGATATCTTGTTAAGATTGAAGGTGAGAACAGGAAAGGTTACCCAAAGTGCATCTCGAGTTCCGAAGATGTGTCCGAAGTACCGAAGTACTTGTCCGATGCGAGCAAAGGTGGTCCGAAGTCAAGAAACAAAGGTCCGAGGTTGTGCGAAGCGTCCGATAGACGTCCGACAAACAGCGAAGGTTCCGAGAGAGAAATACAGCGTATGTGTCGAAGTGTGTCGAAATATGTCGAAGTATAAGACTAGCAGAGGTACTGGGGTACGACTAGACAAAGTCTATCGGAAGAACTAAGAGATATCAAGATGCGAAATGGCAGCGGTCAGGCCAAACAATCGTTCCAAATGAACAAAAAGATCGATTGTGCGAAGTATGACTATCCGAAGTGACTCTACAAACTATGACTTGTAGCAAGGAAAGTGAAGTCAAGTGCGAGTATCTAGCGAGTCAGACTATATCCTACAGCGTGAAAGTCCGGAATCTGCGTAGGCAAAACCAGTAGCGAGATAAGCTATCCGAAATGTAATAAGACTCAAGGTGAGCCGCTACAGAGATATGCATGTAATAGTACACAAGGCGCGCAGCTATACATATTAATCAAGCTTTTCGATGTATGTGCCCCTAAGACATAATCAATAACAGATAAACCAAGTAAAAATGCACCAGCAAAGTCAAACGGACACAGAAAGGACATGGTACGGAGGATCGGACGTGTATACAGGCCTCGGAAGGGGACAGACGGCCTTCGGACTACTCGGATGAGAGCGCCGAAACTCTCGGAAGGTAAAAGGAGTGTCAGGGAATATAAGTGTGAGACACATACAATTTAGGGAGGATACGCGACCAACGCCAGTCCAAGTGTTACAGCGGGCTACCCAGCCTCAAAGATAGAATTTATGTGAGCCACAGTGTTGGTGAGTGATGGATGATAGATGTGCAATAAGATTCATGATGTCCTGTTATCAGATCATCATTAGTTCAACAGAGGATGACTGAAATTATTACTCACCTTCACATCATTCTTCCACGGCTGTTGCTCAGCCAGGCTGTCAAAGAGATAAAGTTTCTTAGTTTGAATATAGATTGCACAAAATACCCAGTGTCCAACTGGTGAGGGGCGATGAATGGGTAAAATCCAAACATCTTTCTCCCACAACAATATCCACAAAGTATTGCACCACAGTATCTCATCCAACACATTGTACCAGATATGAGGGAGATCATACATAGAGAGAATAGCACAAGACTGCATGTGTGAGGTTGTGAGTATTTCGGAGTATAGCAATGCCGTGCAGCCATTGATACATGTATCATTGAGACAGGCAGTGACCTGTGCTAGGAAGGACTGATCCCTTGGGTCGAATACTTGACTTGGGAATCCATCCTGTGCTGGTCATACCTGGGTCAGGGGACCACATGCAGCTGATGCTATGGGGTAATCCTCCGGGCGAGGAACTTCGAAAGGATCTGTGCGTAAATTCTATGGCATTTGATAAATACAGGTACATATTGAGAGATGGAACGTACCTCTGGCAGTGTCCAGGTAATCATTGTAGAAGAGGAATTGGTAGTGGGGTAATATGGGTGGTATGAGATATACTCAAGTAGTCCTCGATGAGCAAGATGTGTGTCGACCCAAGGGGATTGCTACTGAGAAGGTTCCTCTAAGTTTATATGTGGAGGGAAACACTGGACTGGGTGCTTGGTCAAGCCTGGTAAGGCGCATGACGATGAGCGAAGCGCAAGCGAGCAAAAGCGACATGAAGCGCTAACAGGCGATGGTGAGCGACAATGAGCGACAGTGCGTGATCGCAAATGGTAGCGCGCGCTAAGCAGAGGCGATGCGCGCATGTGGGTGGTGGAGCAGAGCAACTCTTGATGAGTCGGAAATCAACTTGACAAGGCTTCTAGTAATGTACGGCAGCAGGCACTCGTATTGTACTTAGATACTTATTGTCGGTCGGTAGATATGACGAAGACTTAGACTTAGAGTCCAATGATATGCGTGCAGAAAGATGATCATTATACAGTTTAGGCACGGGTATATATACTAAGTAATACTAAGCGCTGTCAGGCGCTAAAGCGAACCGAGAAGCGAAGCGGATACAAGATAATATGTAATAAGGGTCTATAACATATGGAATATATGTGCAAGTGCCGGAGATATGTCAGAACATGAGAAAATAGATAGGAATACACACCGACGGACCAAACGGACATGGGATGGATGGACGGAGGACAAACAACGGAACCGAGGATGCACGCGCCGATGTGCGAGCGGCCAACAAAGCGCTCAAGTGCGCAAGGTGAGATATGAGTCGCGCTGTATTAGGAAGTGATTTGGACGATGGGAATTTAGATCCCTGCAAGCCCACAGAGATATCAGTCTCTACATCGTGAATTGAGGTTCTTCCACAGCTTCATCCTTTTTGTTGTCACTAACAGTACTGTTGGGCAAAATGTCCATGAGTACCACTTCTTCAGTAAGCTCTTCAAATGCAGGAGAAAGATATTCATCAGTGTCATCCTCCAGGGATGGATTAGCAAGCACCAATGAGGTTGGTACAAATTTGCAGAGGCCATCTTCTGATGGTCCCTCACTCTCAGATAGAGTGATCGCAAGTTTGACTGCTGCCATGGCATTTCTGGCAAAGCAGATAGAAGATGCAAGTGGGGTGACCCATTTAGTTTGCAGCTGAAGGACACTATCCCACCGTTGCTGCAGGGGGAAGGTATTGCTTTAGATGTTTGCTGATGTAGCTTGGTGCCTGATAGAAGAGTCAGAATTCCAATGCGGCAATGCAGAAGTATTAGAGATCACCAAGGGCCTGGTTTGCACCACCGACCGCATGGTCAAGTTTATCCCACCCAAAAAGCTGCCTATGGCTCGCTTGTGGATATTGATTTTCAGGTCGCGGGCCATGAGTAGTGTTCGGACAAACTCTAAGTCAACACCTTGCAGCTCTGGAAACCTGTCATGGACATTTAGGGAGGAATACAATACTTCGACCTTGTTTATCAATCAGTCATGGCTGCGCTCGAGACTCTCCAGAGCATCTAGTGTCTCCTTGGTAACTGAGCCCTTCTTGACCACAGTGCATGTGGCTTGCAAGGCCTTATCAGAAGCATCTAGATCAGACTGTAGAGCAAGGACAACATCAAGCTCTTTTTTCAGTCGTGCAGGAGCATCTGGAGATTGTGATATGCAATGTTAGTTGTGATTCTGAGTGACTGACATGGACATATAGGCACGAATAGAGAGTTGTGACTTCTTCTGATCCTCCCACTGAGCCTGAAGGTCATCAGCTTCAACACCACATTTAATCAGCACTTCTTTTGCTGCTGCACCCTGGGCATTAACACCATGTTTGAGCCTGTGTTTGATCCAATCACTGAGATCTACTCACATCTCCAGACTGATGGTGCCAGCTTGTCGGTCTATCAACCAAAGACACCTCTGTCGCTATGCAGTACATTATTGCCAATGAAGGTTCATTTGAATAACTGCTGGCACATACCAATGATGAACGTTGAATTCCAATCAACTTGACAAACCTGGACCAAAGTCTCTCTGTACCCTTGCCATCGGATAGACCAAGGCCAGGGCTCATCCTAGGGTTGTATTCGAGCTGACATGCCCACTTGTGGCCATACACGTTGTCTTACTAGGATGTGATTGGCAATAAAATCACCAGTTCTCACTATCCTCCATGGTCAACGGTTCAGACAAATACCAATGGTTGATAATGTGGTCGTTCGTGGGAGGAGGTGTAAAAGTTGGGTTTGTCACAGCAAGCAAATTCCTAATGACTTTGAAAAGGATGAGATTAAGATAAATCTCAGGAACAGTAACCGTTAACTGGCTTGATGCAGTGCTTGGGTACTTGAAGGTTATTAATCCGTTAACTGGCTTGATGCAGTACTTAGGACACAGATGATAAGGATTGATGATCAATGGTGTAGCCAAATTGATAACTGGCTTGATGCAGTGCTACGATGCTACAAGAAGATGGTTGCAAAGATATGCAAAGATAAGATGAAGAATATGGATCACGACAATATGCAAAGGAATCAGAGTATTATCTCATAAACACTCCCTGTTCTCAAAATCAGAGGAGATCAAACTAAACCTCTAACACAATTGAATCAACCGAAATATGTGGCTTCGAAACTAACTTCTCTGCTGCTCAGGTACTGCACGATGAGTATGACACAGGTCAGAACAGAGTACACCCTCGTGATGTAGTCTTAAAGTAGCCAAGCTCTTAGTAAAGTGCTAGTCTTATTTGTCGTCCTTCCTAATCGTTAAGAAATACGTGAATTCTCCCCACAGAAAAGATATCCTGTGTCGTAAAGAGAATGACGAAACTACACTAGATGACTGATAACCGTGTACCAGCTAGCGTAATTTAAGGATTGGCTCAAGGTAGGCCTCAGAAGATCAGTATGTCGTGAGAAATGATGATAAATGAATGGAGGGAATAAACTAACATTCACTCAGATGTTCACACAAATATAGGGTGAGAAACTTAGGAAGATACTCAAATCCTCCTTCCTTCTTAGAAGGGAATCTCTCAAGAAGGGGAATCTATTATTCAGAGGGGAAACAGAGCCCCTTATATACTACTCTAAATGTGGCTGTGTAACTTTCTAAATAAGGAAATATGACTCAGAATGAGTCATAACGGATATGACTCATAGCGACTCAGACAGAAAAATGACTCATAATGACTCAGTCGTCAAAATGTTCCATGTTGACTTGTTCACTTCTCAAATATTCTCATCTATAAACTTTCTTCACTCAAATATCTGACTAATCCATTCCATCTGACTAAGCCATTGACCATTCATAAACTGGTGACATGTTGAAGCGTTATCTTGGGTATGTTTCAAAACATACAGAAAATTGTGAGGAATATGTGTGAAGATATAAAAGGTCATGAGAAATGCTGAATAATCTGTTGTTGTATGTTTGGAACTGATCTTTGAACTAGATAAGTATTAATTTGAACGGTCAAGTTGTAATGTAAGGTCTTCAGGTCTGAAAATTACTCAAATAAAATCTTAAAGTAGTGTAAAAAGTTCATAGTGATTTCATAGAGCAAACATAAGGAACTTCAAGGCTCAAGAGTAGCCATGACCATGCACAAAACTGGTTTGGTGCGTGTCAACGTGCATGGTGGTGGTCACAAATTGAAGACAGGAAGTCACAGAATCAGGTAGAATATCATACTACATAGTGAGATCTCAGATTGAGATAGAATTAAGTAAATAATCACTTACCTGAGACAAGGAGCATGAGAGGACGCAGCCAACATCATAGAGCATGATGACATAGCTTCCTGCGGTAACAGGGAAAACAAGTGCTCAATTAGTGCGACTGCATACTTCTGCTGCTCGCCAGGTGAGTCAATATTAGCAAAGAAGAGTGGGATATCATGACAGCAGATAAGGGCCATGACACCCATATCATCAAAATAATCCATGGCTGCTTTTTGCTTCTTTCCATCTGCAGCTTTGTATGAATGCTCGCATTGATCAATGGCTTCATCCAGAACTACATGGTTGTGTTTCTTGGGGGGACGCTTACGCTTCAAGAGGATCCGCTGTCCGACTTTGTCAACCTGTGTCTTCGGAAGGAAATATGAAGGTTCATAAAAGCGTGGGCAGTCGCCCGCAGATCATCAATGACGATGATGGAAGTTGCCGTCTGTTGCAATGTGGATGTCTCTGCCATCGCTAAGTGACCTGCTGAAGACGATACCTCCAAAACATGTAGGACAGTGCTGCATGAGAATGGAAGCACATTGTCCTGGGAGTAGGGAGGTATTGGAGGGCATGGAGGTTAAATTGTTGTCATCCTCTTGACATTGAGGTCTCCGAGTCTCATAGACCCGCTCTCAACAGGTCTGTACCATCGCCTCAGTCTGTCGTTCAACCTCAGTCTGCAATATGTCATACCACTGAACGGCTTGGCCAAGGCCCTGTCTGAATGGTTCTTGAATGATTTGCCCCTGTGGTGCAATGAGTTAGGATTGACAAAGGCTAAGAAATTGAAACTTACATCTGTGTTGATCATTTGAAAACCTCTGCGGGTGTAATGGGTTTTGAGGGCAGAGGTGAGAGCATGAATGGCATCACATGAGCACTCAAATAAAGCTTGATAGAATGCAAGAAGATCGACAGAAACTGCCATGTGTGGTTGAGAAGGTGCAGTGGGGAAAAGCCCGTGGTGAACAAGGACTTGTGCAAGTGTGGAACATTTGCAGGCCAATACATCAATAGAATTGAAACCTGCAACTGTCAGTTGGAGCGACATGTGACAAGTAAACTACTTATGGTCGAAAAAGATGCAAATAACAGAGAAACATTGCTGTGCACAAGCCTGGCTTGCACATGCAGATATGATAGGATGGGGTGAAGTGAGAGGTTGCCCATGGGTTTGTGCAGAGTATTTGAGGTGCGCATCTACTAAGGTGGGGATCAGAGCTTTCCAAGCATTATAGAGGTTGTAGGCCATGTTGTCTGGTAAGAGAGGGGCCCTGTACTCTCGCATGCCACAGCTGGAGGGTGAGGTACTTGTTGGTCATGCTGGTCATTGTTGGTCATGTCGTAGTCTTCCTCATCATAGGTGTAACCTGCAGCCTTGTCAAAGCTCATTGAGGCTTCAGAATGAACAGCCGTGGAACTAGAACCGGGGGCGTCAGTTTTGAATCCTTGAGGATTCATTAGGGCAGCCATTTGGGCGAGGAGGCACTCACAAGCCTCACATTGAGAAGTAATGCCTGGAATGTGAATAAAAGATTGAGTTTTTTTCAGGTTTCGAGCTTTCTTGGGCTAACAAAGTGGTGCCCTAGCCCTGTAGACATTGGCTGATTGCCACACACAGAGCAGGCGGGCGCCATAATGACAGTAGAAGGGTAGAAGAAGAAACAAGAGGAAAGGACTTAGCGAGTGAAACAGAAGGCTTGCTAAGTGACTTGGCTGGTGTGCCATGCATCAGGAAACCTACATTTCTGCTGATGTTTCTGTCCCCTACTGAACTGTCTGATATCAGACCTACAGGTAGTGCAGTCATGCAGCAATTGCTGAATTCAGTGCCATGCCTGAAATCAGTGGTAAACAGCCCTACAGACACTCAGAGGTACTGTTTGTGTACAATTCAGGATGTCAGTTTCTAAGAGATGCAATACATTAGATATGTAGTTTAGTTTGTACAAAAGCCTCACAGCACATCACACAACATCAGGACATTATGATATTCAAAAACATCAAAAATCATATTCAAAGTAGCTACTACGTTGGTATATACACTACTAACTAAAAGAAAGAGAGAGAGACTTACTAAAATAGACAAAAATGCGAAAATATCAAGGTCAAAAAGAGGTCAGGGAAAGAAGAGACTTACTGAAAATACCAAAAATGCGAAATATATAGCCTGAAAATGAGCAGGGAGTCAGTCTTCAAAGGAGAGGAGAGGAGGAAAGAGGAGAGACTTACCAAAAGGACCAAAAATGCGAAAATATATAAGCTAGAGGTGAGCAGAGAGTCAGTCTTCAGAGGAGGAGGAGAGGAGAGAAGAGACTCACCAAAAAGACCAAAAATGCGAAAATATATAGCCTGGAAATGAGTAGGAAGTTAGTCTTCAGAGAAGGGAAGAAAAGAAAAGAAAAGAAAAGAAAAGAGGAAAGACTCACCAAAAAGACCAAAAATGCGAAAATATATAAGCTAGAAGTGAGCAGGGAGTTAGTCTTCAGAGGAGAGGAGAGGATTAGATTGGAAACTTACCATTGCACCAATCCCAAAGCCCCATCCACACCAACACATCCCAACTTGAATATCCAGCTGCAGGAGCCTGACCTAAGGGCAAGGGAGGAAAAAGAAAAGGATTGAAAAAGAAGAAAGAGAAGAGGGCAAGGAGACTTGAACAATGTCAAAAGACTTGAATTGTTGGACGCATTTTTGATTATATAAGCTTTCCCACCTAACTTCAACCAACATCACATGACTGCTTCTATTATCAAAAATGCAAAATTTCACTAAGTCTCTGCTACACTATGGTACTAGACATTAACATTAGTATACTAGTGTAGTATACATTGTATATAATAAAATATCATAGAGTTTATTTTAATATATATCTCTAATGTAACTACTTAGGAATCAGTTAGTAGTAAATTGTTGTTGGATAATAGATAAACATCCGACATATTAAATGTTGAGCTCATTGTAGTGTGCAGTGAGCGGGCATTTCCTAATTAGGCAATAGGGTGCTAGTGCAGATGTCTGCACTTGCGCCAGGTACAGAAAAATTGTACACACTGCAAAATTATATATCTGTACTTCTGATAATCTAGAGACTAGTAAAGCTGATATCGCTGAATGACTACATAATTTTCCTTTAAAAGTCTGACATGCCTGAACACTCTGTGATTTTTTTTGTCTGATAATCTGATGTTGCTGAATGACTGCATAACTTTCTTTTGAAAGTCTGACATACCTGTTGGGATCCGACGAATCCGAAGGAGACAAGGCCGAAAGGATGAGAGCCGAGAGGGAGAGGCAGCAACCGGCCGAAGCGTAGAGCCAAGGGAGAGGACACCAAGTGCGAGCGCATCCAAACGGAGAATGAGGTCGACGTGTCATGGCCAACTCGTGCGCTGTCCATCTTTTAGTTTAGCTTAGCGTAAATGACTGTACCTGGGAGACTCACCTTATAAGCCCAGGTACCCGCATCCAAACATCTCAGTTTCAACTCGAATACTGAGATGTAAGTTAGTATTTTCGTAACGTTCGACTCAAGGTCTAACGTTATATTAGATTCGTACCTTTGTGTCTAGGTACAACGTTTGTTAATCGGAGTTTCAACTCGAATACTGAGATATTCGTACCTTTGTGTCTAGCTGCGCGTGACCGTCTCGCTATACTCTCAATAATACCTCTGTGATTTTGTTGGTCTAATAATCTGATATATCTGTACAACTGATATGTGCTGATTGTTACTGATTGTTACTGATATCAGTCATGCAGGTAAATCAGGACATTCAGCAGAATTGTAGGTTTCCTCATGTGGACTCTACCAGATGTTCAGACAGGGTGTCAAGGAGGATTAGTTTGAGTATACTGCAGAGGAACCAGGAAGGGCTGTGATGATCCAGGAAGGGCCACGAGGATCTGGCGAGGTCCTGCAGAGAATTTTAGGGATGATTGTGTAGGTGCTATTTTTAGAACATCTGTGAGGTTGGGTCTAAGAGATAGGGTTGTACCTAACATAATAATACAGTCTCATAGACTTTTATTGATGCCGAAAACTGATGCCTGAGGTGAAAGGTTGTTGTTCTAAGCGGTGGGTGAGCGTGGGAGGGAGAGAGCTAGACAATCAAATATATTATCTCAGTATCAGGAAGAGACTCTGGATGTACGTAGATAGGCACCTAGACAATCAAATACATTCTAAGGGTATATTAGCTCATATGAAAGGGAAAGAAAATAATATAAGGCTTACTACATCTCAGTATCAGGAAGAGACTGAGATGTGTGCATGGCTAGTAGGACATTGTTTTAAACTATGGGGACACGGGGAAAGTAGGAAAGAAAATAACAATGAGTTTGAGACCTATGGCACTCGGCCGATGTCACGAACGGCTGTGCAACAGATGCGCTCGTACCTTTCATCCTGACATCTCCATCTTTACTTCTCCTGACAAAGGTGTGATGTGATAACCTCAGACCAAAATATTGCCCAAGGGGCCTGTGATAGCAGGGCCATGTCAATTGTCATATATATTACAGCCAAATGATAGAAAGTAGTCATTGAATAACTATGTAATATTGCATGGTCAATAATTAACAAGTTTGACCTTTGAGTGTCTTTGTTATCAAATGTGACTAGACATACCTAAGTCCCGCCGATTTTTTGATGTCAGTGACTGAAATGATTGCAGTAATAATCCTATCATGTTAGATTCAGCCTTCCCCAATATTTTAGCAGAACCATGTGGTGCACTGCAATCAATTATGTCTATTAGATTGCCCATAGCAAAGAGCTTGCACACCCTCAGTCCATCTTTTCAAACACAGCCGTTCAAGTCAAGCAATGCAAGAAGTGTGATATTGAATAGACTGGGACATGCTCTAGATACGCAAATCGGAACCACTGATACGCCTACAATGATGGATAAAAAAGGGGAAACAAGTCGGACCTAATCATCGTCGTCAACAGCGGCAGCCGGCGGTGAATCCGGCCATTCAATGGGCTCATCATCCATGTCTAGAGGCTGAGTGTCCATCTGTACGTCTGACGGGTCGGGGTGAGCTTGGCTATCTACTAGCGTGGCGTCCTGGGTTTCTACATCCATGGCTTGGGAGCTTGCCGGAGGGCTTCGCTTTGCCTCTTCAGCCTCAGGTGTGGTCTCAATTTTTTTCTTTGCTCGCTTTTCCTTTTCTGCAGGTGGCTTCGATGGCAAACCAAAGAGCGTAGTCTGTCTTGAGAGGTCCTTCTTGTCCTTTTCTTTTTCCTTGCCTTTAGCCGCAGCCGGGCCTGTTAATCACAATTAAACGATTACGGGAAGACAGAAAACCAGGTTTCATCGTTGCTTACGTTTTTCTGCGACCTCAACCTTGTTAAAAAAGCTCTCGCTCTTTTGGATAGGTTTGTTGAGCTCGGGTTTTCTTGCGAAAGGATTTTTCTTGACTTCTTGCCCAGTCTTCCGAGAAAATGGGTTGTCTGCAATAGATGATTGAAATGTAAGCGCGCCCAGGTTGAATAGCTATGCACGTACTAGGCTTTGGCGACGGCACAGCATTGGACTCGCCAACGGCTCGCCTCTTTACCTCGACGTCGAACGTATTAGACGAGAGGTCGTCATCATTATCGTCACGTTTTCTCTTTCCCTCGGGAGACATTGAACGAGAAGCGGAAGCCTGTGGCGCGAGCGAACGACCTGCTCTGATCGCGACACTAGACGCCGTGAACTCCGTTTGCTCGACGATCCCAGCAGATCGTGTCAGACTAGGTCTGTCGACCTTGGGTGGCGGATTGAAGTTCTGGAAAGGCTTCGGTCGAGCTAACGGAGCATCATCGTAGGCAAATCCCTGTCTCGCCTCCCTCGCCTCCTCTGCCGGCGTTGCGTTCTGTTCCCGCCACAATTTAATTGCTTCTATCTTCTCCTGCAATCCAATGAGGCGGTAGAACCCTGCAAGTTGACTCGCAGCCGCAATTGAGTTTGGAAAATGTAGTCGTTTGACGAGCTCAATTACACGTGGGGCCTTGTCCGTCTTGCAGGCAACTTGGATGAGCTTGATCAATTGTTTGTCAAG